ATAAAACATGTGAATACTTTGTATATCAGTTATATTATTACTATAAATTATATGTGTATCGATATATACATAAATAACTGTATATATTGTTTTTTTAATTCTAAGTTAAGATATGTTTATATATGTATGTGTGTATCATGTGTGGCTTACAATCTTTTTTTTCATTGTACAACCCTGTGTTGTAAAATGAAAATAAATAACCTTGATTCCATGAGTTTCCATATAGAAGAGTAACTTTTGGCTGCCAGGTTGTGTAAAAATCCCCTTTGCTGCTATGTCATTGTTGTCTTCCTTTGTCTCTTTATCTAGCTCTTTAATTCACCAGGGAGACTCCTCCAATAGTTCCAGCACTTGTTTAAAAGAGTTGCAGGGCATCCAGATTGAAATCCACTTATTGACAGCTTATTAACCTTTACAACTATAGATTTGTACATGCTCAGCAGCTGTACGGACCTTGGGAAATAGAATACAATATAAACTTGCCAATATTCACTCATTTGTGTAAATTAAAGAACAATTGCAGAATATATTGCTCCTTTCCTATTGCTCCACCACTGTAGATTGCATTTTCTTCAGCTTTTAAAGCAGCATTACAGCATTTTAGGAAAGCATTATATTTCAGAAAATATCACTATCACAACTATTTGGTTAAAACATTTGCAGGTAAGGTTATATTTTTGAAAAGATCTTTAAGCAAACACGTGTTTATGTACAGTAAAGAGAAGAACATCCTTTTCTCCTTTTGTTGTATTAAAAACTAATGAAACAATATTTGTCGAAACAATTTGTCATTATAATTTTAGCATTTGTTTAATTAATTTATCATTGTTTAATCTAGAATGGTCTAATGTGGCAAATATGATCACTTTCATACTGAAAAATCTTATAAAAGTGTAAAGCCTAAACCAAACAAAATCACTGGAAAGTAAGTAAAGTAAATAAAGTAAATAATAAATATGAAAAATGGAAAACAAAGCTCTAGATTATCTCCTTTGTCTTTGCCTCGGGGCTGGTAAAAGAGAAATTAGTGTGTTATAATCAGTGTCTCTGCAACGTTCAGTGTGTATGTGTGTACAGACATGTTTATGTGGTGTGTGTGTGTGTGTGTGTGTACAGACATGTTTATGTGGTGTGTGTACACCTGATAAAGCAGATCATAGTGTCAGGGTGACTGGAAATGGAGAGCAGGCAATGTGCACTCAGACACAGTTTTAAAAAAGATCCATTTGTTAAATAATGAAGGTTAATGAAAGCAAAACAAAGATGTGTGCTGAAGCTGGAGTTTTATGATTGCTGAAAGCTTCACATACACTGCCAGCTCAGCTCTAAGTGATCTAAGAGTCACACACACACACACACACACACAAAGAGAGAGAAAAACCCTTTGGTGACAGAGATGATTGTCAAAAGAATGATGTGAGGACCCCTTCGCATCATATGAGGACAAAAAAACCGAAGGGAAGACATGGGATGACAAAGAGGAAGCGGGAGGGTAGAGCAGAGTGTGAAAAGAGTGATGAGAGATGATGAGAGGACAGAAATAGATGATGTGTGTGAATCGGAGGGGACTCCAGCTGTGTGTTTATCCTGCACCAGGGAAGACTGTGTCAAGCCAGCTGAGATGACAGAGCAGACGAGGCCTGGCTGTGACACGCAACACAGGCGACGGGCTGCCGCGTAAACACACACTCGAAGGTGTGTGTGTGCTTTTGTGAGTTACCCATGATTCATGCTGAATAGATGCACCACAGCAAATCTGTCTTGAGGAGGAGGGTGAATTTCTGCGAGCAGCGATTTCCACCCTGTGCGTTTGCCTTCTTGTGGTGAAAATGTGGCAAAGTCAGCATTCACCTCATTACACCCCTGTGACCTTCTGTGAAATATTCAAGACCACACACACACACAGACACTCATTTTCCAGCATGTTCTTTGCAGGATTTTACCTCAGAGCAATTCGGTGTTACTGTAAACAGACATTTGCTGTAGTATTAGTAGGTCAGTTCCATTTAATTCAATTTTATTTGTCTAGCCCCAATTCATAACAGAAGTTNNAATAGAGCAGGTCTAGACAGAGACAGAGACAGAGACAGAGATAGAGAGATAGAGAGAGAGAGAGAGAGTAGTGACTGATGATGATGAACATGAAAAGGATGATGACGACGACAACAACAATGGGGGACACTCAGTAAACATGGAGCATCCTGGGCAGCAGTTTCCTCAACATGAAAATTCTGAGAGAATGACCTTGGTGATCTAAGAAGAGCTACAGCCCTGAATGTTATAACGTGGGCAGCTGAGTCCCAAAGGTATGGAAGTTTTTATTCTGCAGGATTTGGCAATAGTAGTTATAAGAACCTGCTTACTGCAAAATAAGAAAAGTAAGACTAAAGTGTAACTTTTAAGAGGTGAAATAACTTCTTCCTTTCGCAAATGAAATGTTGAGTAGCTAAACTATGTGGTCTGGTATAACCCATAGACATATAATACATAGACATGGAATATATCATAAATATAGAATTATAGAATTAATTTAATTCTACTACACATATATCATAAATCTTTGAATATAGAAATGACTCAATTGAATTGGTTGAGAAATGTAAATGTTATACTGATTTTTATCCAGAAAATCGCAGTTTGCCAGTTGACTTGTATTTGTTTAAAGGACATTCTCGCCCAATCCAATATGGCGGCAACGTTGATGTACAATCTGCTGGCCAATGCAGCGTCTACTTTTATGTCTATGGTATGACCAGTAGCATGGTGGCTAATGTCAGCTAATGCTCTCAAACTTTAAATGTTGCTGTGTAAACCTGGAGATCTACTTGCTGTTTAACCATATGTTTGCGTCATGTTACTCTGAGGACCTCTTAAACTCACTAATTGATATGTATCTTGTTTGTTTAATCTGTACAAACAGGAAGGCAGAAACAGGTTGTGGTTTTACAGAGTAACGTGTAAAAAAAACTCAGTGACTTTAATAAAACCACAAATGTTTTACATTTCTGTTTGTATATGGATTAAACCGATGAGATATAACCATGGACTGTATAAATAGTGGACAGAGCTTCCGGCTCTGAAAAGAGAAGCCAATGCATTAGTGCCTTAAACCTTCTTTCTAATGGCCAGCACGGCACTGCAAAGAAAAGTTCAATTGCCAGCCTATGGAAGCGTGAAATAACCCTACTAATCATTTAGTAAATTATGGCCCAATTTAGAAAAAAATAGACAAGATAGATAAAGCATAGTATGGTTTACGGCATGGCTTCCTTGTGATTGACAAGTTGCTACCACCACACCCTCGGATCCTCAGTCAGATCCAATCAGGATAGAGCCATAGTAATACTATACAATAGCTCCACCCTCTTATCCAAATAGGGTTACTTCTGGCTCCACAAAAAGTTCACAAACCAATGGGTGAAATCACAGTGGGTTTACACTTGGATATAACATGTTAATTATTAAAAATGGTGCTGGTAGTTGCATTCTCTTTACTTTGGAAAACCAAGTATCCACTGCTTTATCACCTGACTACAGAACAGCTTCTTCCCTCAGGCTGTGAGACCCTTTAATTCATCCTCTGCACCCCCACCATAGATTACTTGGAACTTTACACTGACATTGGACATACTGTACATATTTGTGTGCATACGAGTATAGGTAAATGTACATAATAAAATGAAATGTATACAGTTACTTATGTTCAAATTTAAATATATATGTTCTATGTATGTGTAGCATGAAGGGGCTACTACTGACCTGTGTTGCAAAATAACACAAAATGAAGCTTGACTTCCAAATATGTTAAACCATTTCTTTAGATTATTTTGTCAAATTAATATTTTCAGGTTGAAGAACAATCTCACACTCAGTAGTTTGCAGTTGTTTGTTTTGGTGCTTGTCTTCATTGATCTCTAACAGCAGTTAAAGGACATGTAACTCTGACTTCTCTAGGCACCAGGCATACCATACTGTTCTGTATATCTATTACTTAACCTCCTACTCCACTATCATGACTGTGATCCATGACAGCCAGGTGTTCTCCTAAGAGCTCGGGAAGAGATTAAAGCCTTTCTATCTGTCTCTCAGCCTGCTAAGCACCAGTCCAGCCTCATTCAACGGGCTGAAACCAAGGCCTTGAATAGAACAGTGGTGGACCAATCACAGGCAGGGGAGGGGTGCATCTGTCCTTCCAATAAAGTCATTGGGTGAACAGTATTACAGTGCTGTTCAAGAATGCCACCTAGTGTTGGTGAAGAAAAGTGTGCAGGTTCTCCAGGGTGATGTGACCACCTGGAAGGAGTGTGTGTAGAAGCTGCTACGCACCATGCGGTTTTGATGTGGGTCTGATACTGACTGTACCTGCACAAAAGACAGACATCAGCCCCGCAAAAGCAAAATCAGAACCAATACTGTAGTAGTATTAATAATATAGAGCTGAGGGAAGTATCAGAAAAGAAGGGCCAGACTAACTGAACCAGGACTAAACTGCTTCATAAAAGCAAAAACTAACAAAACCAGCATCATAAACAAAGCAAAATATCTTTTCTTTGTATGGTATGTGTTGAAAATAAATGTACATGATATACAGTGTCAAATAAGACTGCAGGCAAGTACTTTATTAAATAACAAAATTTGCATTTTCTAGAAGGTTCTCTTTCAGTTGGAATTTGCTACTTAGTTTTTGTTTTTTTTGTTTTGTTTTTTTTTTTTTACAAATGAGCTTCAATATAGTAAAACAATATTGTTTAAATGTCTGCAGATAGGCTGTGTGAGCCTCTTATTGTAATAGAAAACATTACTGGGAGTTGGTTAAATAAAATTGAAGAAACTGAATGAATGTTATATTATTAGAATATATTCCTTTTGAAACATGCGTTTGGTGGGTCAGAGATTGTTTAAGTTCCCTGTGGTGCTGCAAGGTCAGACGACAAAACAAACTTCAGCTCTAAAGTGCATCCCAAAATCTTCACTGTGAAATCATTACAAGCAGACAAAACTTGCCCACAAAAGTTGCTTTAATTGACTGTTAAAAATAAGTAAGGCTAAAGATGCTGTAAAAGTACAAGATGGCGTGTGTACTGCCAACTGGGAAGAGAGAAAGTCTCTGCCAAGTTAATGACACGCATATGCAGATGAGAGGGCTGATGCAGACCTGTGGGGGAGGGCGAGACTCTATCATGCTGTGGTGGGATGAAGTTGCTTATTGACTTCAGTTTGACTTTTTTTTCCTGCATTAGAGCTGAAAACTGATTGTGTGGACAGGCTGCAGGGTTTCTACTACACAAAAAAAAGAAACAGGTCTGAAGCATTCCCCCATTCCTCTCCCCTCGGAGACATAGTGCATAGCTGAGTGAGGTTAACCCCTACAAAACAAATTCATTTCAACAGCAACAACTGTTGTCAAAACAATAAACCCAAGCCATTTTTATGTTTCATACATATATAATCATATATATATTCATATTCAATGTACAAAGATACATTCTGAATTGCAAAGGCTCAATCATTGTAAATAAATACTGCAATGGCTAAACCGCTCTCTCCTCTCCTGGAGAGAAGAGACACACACGCACACACACACACACACACACACTCTCATGATGAGGACAGGCCTCTTCTGATACTGTTCATTACAAAGAGGTCAACACAAAGAACATACCAGTGCAGTGTACTGGTACACAGAGGCCAGAAATACATATTACACCCAAAGGAACATCTTGTGCACTGTACTCAAGAGTACAGTCTAAAAGACATTTTTTTTAAAAAGTTAATAAAAATAAACTTAAAAACATTTTCCGAGATAATCTGTTTGCCGTCGGGAGGGGATATCACTGAGGAGTTCAAATAAACAACATCATCTTGTACAAAGGGGACAGAGCAGTGCCGCAAAACCAAAAATGTCACCGTTAGAAGTTTTGACCTCTAAATGTCAAGACAAGGATTAGATGGGGTGGGGGTAGGTAATCCTCAGTGTGGCTGCTTGTTTTATCCTATCATAGTAACAGGTCCAGCACATTCTCTTCTCTCACACCCTGAAAATATTTCGATTTCCTAATATGAAAGTCTAAAAATATATCTTATCTATACACCAGGATTTCTGTTACAAAAACTTGCAAGTTATCTACATGGAGGCAGACTCAAACATGCTGATCAGAGGTGCCGAGTTAGACGAGACTCTAGTATTGTTTCAGCATGTGGCAAACTATCCATCTTTAATTCTTTATCCTTTGGTAGCAAACGTAACATTCTTTCAAGGAAAAATAAATACTTTGTCACACTTGAAAAGCCTGGAAGTTAGTCCTTTCAACCTTTGATATCTAAGGCATATTTATAAAGTGTCGACAAGCTGGAGCTGGTGGGCAGACAGAGCAGACGACTCATGTAATATGGGATTAAATACAGGTCTGTGGTCTATCAATCTTTCAGCATTGCAACCGAAGCTAACTCAAAGGAAGGGAGGATTTACAGTACGCAGTGCTGGATGTCGCAGCAGCTGCTGCTATTCATTTCATAATTGCAGGTTTGGTGAATGGAACTCTGTCAGTGAGTTAGTTAGGCTCCAGTTCATGCCCCCGATGTATTATCATTACATTCAAGTCTCAGAGCTAAGCATCCCATTTTCTGAAAAATAAGGACCTGCTGATCTTTGAAGACTATATTAGTGATGTTCCAATACCATTTTTTCAAGTACCGATCCGATACATGTGCGTTAAAATATATATTTATATACACACACACTGTATATTGTTATTTTTTAAACAAGTGAATACTTGTAAGCCTGTATGATTGCTATCACTGCTGTATGACCTGTCTCTGGTTTAACCCTGTCAGAGTCAGAGTTGGGTAGGTCATGACTTCACTATCCTGGACAACTGCTTGGAAGTAGCAGGGTCCTGTTTAGGGGCTAATAAACTGTGTGGTGTCAGATCAGTGCACAGACAGTGCTGCATTTAAGGCAGTACTGCAGGAACTTCCAATACTGACATCAATGTTGGAACAACTCTAGACTATATCCATGCTAGCAGCTCTGTGAGGCTGTCCTTAGGCACAGCAGTGCTTTAAGCTAAATACTAATGTTAGCATGCTAACATGGTCGCAATGAAAATGCTAGCATGTTAATGTTTAGCAGGTACATTCACCATGTTCAGCATGTGTTAGCATGTTAAAATGAGCTAATTAGCATAAAACACAAAGTACAGCAGAGGCTGCTGGGAATGTCATTAGACTTTAGATACTTGGTCATAAACAATAGTATTGGACAAAGTCAAGTTCAGACCTGATGGTGGCGCTAGAGAAAAAGTCAGAGGATCACTAAGTTTGAACCTGAGGGGGACGGTAATGTCTACCAGTGGTTGTTGAGACATTTGAGTCTGGATCGGAGTGATGGACAGAGCGACAGACCTGAGCCATGCTGTTAGCAGGTAATTTAACAACACATAGCTCTGTTCTGAGAACGGGTTAAAATTGTTTTTTACAATACAGCACACGTAATACTTCTTCATTCAGATGGTTAGAAGAGGCTGAGGATTCTGGGAATACATCCAGAACAGCGGTGTTATTAAATTACCTTTCAAAAACATTTCCAGGTACTTATTTTTCAGAGAATAATGCAACAAAAATGTAATGGTAATACACGCATGAGAGACATAAACTCGGACTACCATTAATATTTATCTTGAATATTAAGATAAATACAGGGCCATCTGCTCAAACAAATGGGAAATTAGATGAATTGCATTTAAACGAATCCTGACCTAGAGACAACTGGCGATCAATTAAATTTGTCTTGCATACAATCAATAGCCGAGTTCTCAAAGGATGAGAAACAACATAAGAGTTGGGATTCATCAACGATCCCATGTGATTGGTTCCCACATATGACTGCTACAGTCTTACATTATTGAAGGGCAACAGGGGAGCTCACAGGTGATTATTTTCCATCTTGACCCACTGATTTAATGTCAAGTTGAGTCCAGCGTGCGCACACAGTAACCGAACCTGCAAATCTCAGAAAAAATTCATTGTATCTATTGCAAATATAACAAACAGTTCTGTATCCAATAACAGGTTTACCTCAAATCATATTAAAAAGAGAAAGAGGCATTATAATAGATTGAAATTCAAATCCATAAAATAAAAAAATAAAAAGAACAAACAAGAGAAAAGGACTAATAGTAAAACAATAACATGCAGTTTGCGTGAATCTGATCGCACTGCTCCAGTCCAGTTTACCGCTCAGTAAGCTCTCAGAGCAGTTCCTGCTTGTTTCACACTCATTGTTCAGGTTTGAGGAAGAAAAGAAAAGTGCTGATTAAACTCGTGCCTGCAGAGGGGGAGTCGTCCACCTGAACTCCTCCACGGCAGCGAGATTTAGAGAAAAGGCAAATCAGGCCTCGGGGGTCCCGCGGTCAGAGTTTAGTCCTCGCTGGCCAGGACCTGCCACACGATGAGGTGGCTGCGTTCGGCCTTAGCCAGGAAGGGCTGCAGTTTCATGGGGTGTTCCTCGCCCTCCTCCACCTCGCCGTCCTCATCACCTGAAGACATACACAGACATCACATCTGTCTCTAGATCCACTGTAGCGGTTACCATGACCTTTTTATCCGTTACGTGTTGCAAACTCACCCATCCTGAAGTCGATGTAGCCTTCTCCTCCGCTCATCACCAACACAGACTTAGTTCCTTCCTGAGTTGCGGCATCTGTTGCTTTGTCACCTGCTGCCTCTCCTCCGCAGGACGCAGATGGAACTGCGTGACCTGAAAGCACAGAGCCACGAACTGTAAATAACAACAAACAAGTCCAGATTGTGTTTTTCTGGTGCAGACTTTCTTAGTAGTATACTGTATTTAAATGAGACAGCTCTCTGGCTCACTGGTTTTTAAATCTGCATTTAGTAATATGAGAAGCAAACTGCTTTTTTTAAACATTTATACACATACAGAAGCCCTGCTGATAGTGTAATCTCATTTGCTATTACACCAAAATCATTTTCACCAGAAGTTTATGGCAGCAGCAGCTGCTGCTTTTTTTGTTTTATTTTAATGGAAAATAACAAAACATCCAAAGAGTGATGCTGGAATATATAGAAGTACAAATCTCAAACAGAGCGTGCAGTGTGGTTTGTTTACCTGGAACAGCTGTGAAGAATTTGACAGCATCTCTGTGACCATGGAAACAGAGCTGAGCGTGAGCCATGGAACAGTACGGAACAAACGTCCCCGCTGTCACTTTGTCACCACTGTCGTCACCATAGACGCGCACCACGCTTCCTGGTTGGTTACCTGCTGCCTTGGTAACCTTGTTGGCGGCTGATGGAACAGACAGAAACGGATGAGACCAATCAAAACGCTTCAGACACTAAATCACAAATAACCCCAACCAGAAGAGTATCCCCCTAAATAGAGACAAACTCACTCTCTGTCAGAGGGATGGAGATGATCACTCCATTTCCAGTGCCGATCCAAAGACGATTACACGACACCATGAGAGCTGTGATCCTCACAAAAGAGAAGCCTAGTTTCCCCGTACCTGAGAAATAAATATAAAGAACACATTCAAGACAAAATCTGAGTTGATGAACAAATGTCCATCAGGTGTCTTCTTTGAGTTTCATGAATGGATGGATACTTGCAGAAATCTTCTTGTAAGAAAGAGTGAACTGACCCAGCATCTTGCTGACGTAGGGCTCGATGTCGACGTCCTGAAGGTGCTGGAAGGTGTGAGCGTGGAACAGCCTGAGAGTGGAGTCCAGTCTAATAGACACCCAGATTCCATCGCCGTCCCAGGCCAGCTGACGTACCTGGCTATCCTTACGAGGATGGGCGTCAAATGACTTCTGCAAAGGAGAAGAGAATACGCAGACATGGAAGAGTGTAAGAGGAATGCAGGAAATTGATTTCATGGCTCAAGGGCAAAATTACTATAATGTAACTAAATCCTTTTCTACTCAACCTTTCAGCAACCAGACCCGACAACGGCTGTGTGTCAGGTCAGGTCTGGGACGTTTTTATTGCATAAAGCTTTGTGCTCACATTGGATGATTTTAAAATGTTTCTTTATAAGACAATTCTCTCTCTATCTCTGCCATTGTCTGCTTTGAGCCATGTCATGTTTTCCAAGTAGATACGCAATACCCACTGGGGAGCAGGAAGAGAGAGAGCATTGTATTAGCACGGTGAGCTAGCAGACAGCTAAGGCACCAGTGTGTAGGATTCAGTGGCATCTAGCAGTGACGTTTCATCCTCCCCTTCCAAGCATAGGAGAAACTACGGTGGCCTACAGGTAGCGTACAAACCTGAAGGACCTATGTAGAAGCAGTGTTTGGTTTGTCCGTTCTGTAAAAACATGGCAGTTCAACATGGTGGACTCTGTAGAAGAGGACCCACTACCTCTCTAAATACCGCCTTGGTGTGGGGCCGGGTTCAGGTCTAGAGTTTGGCCAGTACCAGGCGGGATTAGTCTGATGTAGTCTAAAAGGCACAGGGTCTGGGTTTTATGCCTGTACAGAACTCTAAATTAAACACACTAGCATTAAAACAAATGAGTGAGGGCTAAGTTACCTCTATCTTCATGGCTTTGGGCTGCACCACATAGATCTTGTTCCTGTAGCCGCACCACACTTTGTCATGTACTATAGTCATGCAGCGGATGGAGTGGTGGGGTCTCCCCAGGTCTAACAGATGGTAGTTGGTCAGGTCCCACTGTCCATCTGACACAAACACAGGAAGTCAATGTTTATATTTACAGAGAAATCCCAAGTACAATTGACTTATTTATTTGTTGCGAAGCTCGTGTCCCCTCACCTACTCCTCTGTGGAAAATGGCTAAAGTTCCATCAGAGAGGCCGACCAGTACACGGCCTTTCACGTGCCTGTGGGAGAGAAACAAATGTCTTCAAAAAGCACCTGTCACACATTCAAAAAAGCACAAACACGAGAGTGAAATGGAAAATCTGTTGATTTCAGTGTACTTACACTATACCGAGCACAGAGTCCTTCAGCTTTATAGAATGGAGACACTTCTTCCACTGAGCCACAGAGGAGTGCACGTACACACTACAATCACAAAGTCAACCATCAGATTTCTTCAGTTCTGGCCATTTACATAAATGTGTGCTCAAACAAACATTTCAAACTCACCATCCATTCTGCGCCCCCAGCCACATCGTGGGCAGAACGCTGCTCATTTTCTGAGCCTCCTCTCTCATCAGGTCCTGCTCCTCCGCAGTGGGGTTTGAGCTCACTCCATCTTTCAACAGATCACTCTCCCTGGTCATCAGACACAACAGAGATACAGTGTTTGTGCAGTTCTTCTAACCACCAAACTGAGTGAATACTTGCCCATCCGATGTCATACCAAAGTCAGTACACAAGGACAACAAACAGGAAGTCAGTTTAATCAAGTGACAGTGGTAGCACTGGATGTATGGGTTTTTTTCACTGATACAATGTTACAGCCTTTTCATAGAGAGTAAGTGGTAGCTGAGGGAAAAACACACACCCAGCCAACTAGCGATGTACAAGCTTTAATGCATTGCAATAATAATTTACCATCACACAAACATGTACATAGGTTTCATGACCTAACAGTAAATGGTTTTACAGCGATTTGATGTTGTTGCTAAGTGTTTATGGTTGCACTGATAAAATGTGCAGTTTTATTGGACAGGCTGGATTGTAACAACATTGTGGTGGGTAATGGGCCTCCTGATGTTACCTCTGAGAGTAGTTGGCCAGAGCCTCTGCAGTCTGCTGAGCTCCCAGCGGATCGGTGAAGACGTGTTCGGTGTAGGCTCCCCTCAGACTCTCTCTTTGGTCAGCTGGCCCCGCGCTGGCCTCCGTCGCCTCTGTGGCTTCCTCTGCCGGTCTGGATTCTGTAGAGAGGATCATCCTTTAGCAAACTGAGCCAACTCATATGTGTAGGTAGTATTCATGGTGTCATTTTAGCTTTGTTACTGTATGTGGCATACACACAATGATAACAGATTTCATCCTTTCCTCACTTAAATAAGATAAATGTGGCCCAAATCTCAAAGAATGCATGCTAACGTCAGACAGAAAAGGGATCAAAAGGCAAACATCTGACCAGTTTCTTCATCTTTTTCTGGACTGACTGCTGTCTGAGGAACTGCTGCTATTCCCTCAGCTTCACAGCCGACAACAGTAATGCCTCCCAGCACGCCGTCGCCACCCGCAGAGCTGCTATTGGTTGGTTCTGAGCTGCCATCTCCTGCTGGTCCTGTCTCAGAGTTTGGAGCTACTTCCTCACCAGCTGGGTAGTCAGTCTCTCTTGCACCTACATTAAAACATACATCATAAATAAGAAAACATGCTGTTCCTCATAATTTGTGCAATTCCCCTGTGAGGCACTGGATGCAAAACCAGTTCTCTGATGTCAGTCATAAAACCCTCTCTTCCTGTGTGTGGACTGGCACTGACCTGGTACACTGGCGATGCAGAGGACGTGGGAGTTGCACACGAAGAAGCTCTCCAGGATGTTTCCAGGCTGGTTGGCGTCAATGACGACAACTTTAGTGGTGGACTGGGTGCTGGTACAGATCCAAACCAGCGACGATAACTCTTCCTGATGCCGCAACTCCTTCTGCTGATCCTGTAACAAGATTGTCAGTGTATGTGAATGTGTGTTTCTGTAGCTACAGGTAACATCCTCATGGGATGGGATGATTTTAAAAGAGTAGAATCTTTGTGCTGTGTGTACCTTGAGTTCTTGATCCAGTTTATCCAGGCTGCTCTGAGATCCTATTTTCTTTTTAGGGCTCTCTGGTCCAGGCACGTCGCTGTAAAACACGCTGGCTCCTACGATGGAACCTCCGTCTCTGGTTTTACCTCCAGAGAGGTTCACACCAGCAGCGCACCACAGCTGAAAACACAGTTATAGCAGGTAAATACATTGAGATATATCAACGCATCCCTATCAAACTACTAGAGTTAAGAAACTGAACCATAATTACATTCAGTGCAGTTTGCTGGCTAATACTGGGCCATCAACAGCTTCAGTCAACATATACCAACATTATATACCTTCCTACTGTTGAGGATGAAAGCTAACAAGACATCTTGTGTGTAGTTGCACCAACAAGCTGGAGGAAATACCTTCATAGAAGCATCTTTCTCATCCAGTGGTCTGAGGAAGACAGGAACAGGTAGATTCTTCACCTTACTTTCTGACTGACCACCATTGGCCTGAAAAAAAGAAAAACAGCATCATCGCATTACAGCTCCTTTCTGTTGTAGCTCACATCACATCCCATCATGTGAAGTTCTAACATCATCTGGAGGGGAACAGAGAGCAACTTCTCCTTACTTTGTATTTCTTAGGCAGACTCCAGCCGTAAGCCTGCACTCTGCCGTCCTCCTTCTGGACGTGGGCTTTGACCTGCTCGTATTGAGCCCTCTTCTGCTCTCGCCTGGACACCACGCTATCGGCTGCCACTCTGCGGGACGGAACAACAGCTCACTGATAAAGACGTCTTGGACAGTTAAAAAATAACATTCAAAAAATTGTTGAAAGGGTTTTCTAAAACATTGTAGTTCATATCATTTAGTGTGGAAAACATAATACATTGATGTCTTTTAGTATTTGTCCAGTTTGTGTTCACATTCATCATTCATCAAATTTCACTGACTGACAGCAAGTCCTTCTGTACTTTAGTGAATATTTATGTTGTCCAGTGACAAAGAGAGACCTCAAAGAAATAACTAGTAATGAGTATTATTAGTCAGGACTGAACCTCATAGGTCTTATATGTCTTTATAAACAGATAGAAATGGGATATGAAAGAGGCCCTTCCTGTCATAATATTATGAATATGGCTTTAACCCTGATGTATCAGGGGAAATCTGCACTCACATGCTGATGCACATGTGTTACCACAGTTACCAGATGATTTGCAAAATGGTGGACTGTGCTGTACATTTCTTATAGACTACAGATCAGGAGATCACTGTCCTCCCAGTTTACGATCAAGACTTAACAACAGTTCAGCTTTTGAATTCATGCTAAAAACACATATCTATTTTCACAAAATCCTGTGGTTGGTAAGTTTGCTTGCAAATCACACCAGAGTTCAACTCAACTGCACCAGACAGTTCCGGTTTACAGCACGCTAGGTTAGTACAGCAGTCTCTGATTTAAAACTTTGGAAGCTATTAAAATGTTTCAACGGTCTTTATGCTTTGAGTACAATTAAAAAATTTAAAATGTCAAGTTGAATTTAAAATCCTGGCATCCTTTTTTAAGAGGGTTGATGCTCTCATAGTTCATGAGTGGCCTTTTATTCCTGATCTTTGCTTCTGAGTCACCAAAATGGACCAATAGTATCATGTCATGTTTTCACTGACTTACTCCTCATTGAGGAAATCAAAGGCTTTGCTCTTGTCACTGGGCAGTTGCTGCAGGGTGCTGCTCCTCTTCTTGACGGACGGCTGAATCTGAGAGGTGGGTGCGTTGTACTTGACGTTCACCGGGGCCTCCGCTGCCGGCTTCTTGGCCGCCCCGCCCGACGAGCTAAATAAACGGCTGAAACTGGAGGTGTAAGGGCGGGGAAGTGGGGAGGAAAGAGAAAGAGAAAGCACACAGACAAACGTATAGAGGGGTGGACACAAGCAGTAGCTCCAGCGGAAAAAGGCAGGGTTCAACATTTAAGGGTAAAAAGGTACCTTTCCCATGCCAACACACCATGCCAGCTTTCATACAGGTAGCAATCAGACATTGATGTGCATATTCCCATTAACTTGTAAACAGCCCATTGACCTGTCTCCCACACAGCAAAGCATCAGAGCAGCTGTCCTCCCTCAATGCTGGAGAGCAGGGTTAATATTGTGCACCGACTAGGACGTTAGTCAACAACACAGAGCAAAACAGGCCTGGACAATAACACTTTTCATTTCCCCTTAACTCTACAGTGGGAGTACTAAAATATTTATCACATTACACCTGACAGTCTATACAGAGCAGCACATGTTTAGCATGTTTCTAATCCATACTTTTATAGCAGAAGTCTGTAAGTTAAAGGCTCTGGTAAGTCTATCTTTATGAGCATAGTTGCTTTGTTTTAACCAACACACTCCACCAATATTCCTGTCTTCCCTCCCATCCCCATAGCAACCTTCCCAACACACCTCCTGCACACAGACATCACAACACCAGACAGAATATAGAGGGACACACAGAAACAGGGCAGGAGAGATGGTGGATGTATCAGATTTTGCTTCTCTTATATGAACAAATGTCCCAAACCCTGTTGCCAAAAACCTGCTGCACATATCCTTCAAACCAAATCAAACTCATTCCTTATGACACTCAACAAAGGAGAGCCAGGCCAGTCTTTCAGATTGAATTCCTCTGTGAGCGAATGCTTTGTCCCAGCCTAAAGCTTCTGTCATGTTTACAACTTTCTTAATAAAGAATTAAAGACATTTGTAACAGTAAAGCAGCTCAGATCTGAGATCAGAGCCACTGCTCCCTGGCTGGCTCTCCTCTGTTCAGAGTTTGTTGTCAAGATGAAAACATCACCCAAGTCAAGATAGACACCGTTTAACATGTCAACGATTTACCTACATCCTGGAGAAAACAACCATACAACATGGAATACAAAAGAAAAGAAAAATGAAACGCATAAATAAACAGTCATCACACTGTTGGTCTCTAAGAGCTGAAGTGAAAAGAAAAGAGGAGCTTACAACTGCCAGAGGCTGGATTTCTTCTTCTCTGGTAGAGCTGGGTTCTCTTTTGAGGCCCTGAGAGAGAGAATTCACTTTGTTAAACCTCATCAAAAGCATCCAATTTAATTCAGTCAGTTCCTTCATCAAACCATATTCAGACAGTTTTGTCTTTGTATTTTGCTTTTTGTGTATGCATGTTTTAAGGATCAAGGCAAGGAACCTGGAAAATTATGTTGTAGCAGCACTTCATAATAATTTCAACAAATTAGGCAGAAAGAAAGAAAAAGGCAGATTTACTCAGTTGTAGATAATTAATGTTACTCTGTGAGCTGCCAACACAACTAAAAAGGCTTTTTGCTGTTTGCGGTTGCTCTCTGAATGCTGGTGTCTGTACTACTTAAACATGGTTTTGTGGAAGAAGAAAGGTTTGGAGAAAAAAAAAAAAGGAGTTGTGGGCTGTCTTTCTGCTGTTCATAAAATACTTTCTACATGAGTGAGCCTCACATCAGCTCAGGTGCTGTCAAACAGACAGATGTTCAACTCAACTCAACTCAACTCAATCAGAAATCCAAAAGTGACCTTACTGCAGTATGCAGCTGTTATATAACACCACTTGTCCCATGA